TACTCAGGTCATTTTATCATGAATATAGTACATATCTATATATACCTGTATGATATATAGTTTATCTATGAAATTCGTATTTATACTCGTAATTCTAGTGAAGGCAAATTAATGATTTCCATTGAAAATATTATTACTTCAAAGTCTGTAGTCACAACACAGACAAATATCTAAATCAATAAAGTTTATAGGCATAAGAAATGGAAATATTTGTTTAGTTTTTGGTACCGTGCAGCTTGACTTTTAAGATCGGTGCATATTTTATAATATGGTGAGGAGCAAGTATAATTTGTATATCAAATAAACGTTACACACCCTGAATACTCTCTTGCCTTGAATACCTAAGGCGTCTTGGTTGACGTCGATGATCCCTTTGTTCAACAAAATCTCTTTGAACTCCGGACGGACTGCGGACAGCTGGTTGGACATGAGCAGGGGAGCGGCCAGTATTGCCCAGATGGCCATCTGGGCTTTACTCTGGTCGACCGTTAGACCAAAGTTGCCGATTAAAAGCTGCAATAATATTAGGTCCGGTTTTTGTATTGTTGTGCAATATGGTTATTTATTATTATTACGTACACATCACTTTTTAATCGGTAAGTACAGAATGAGTACATGTCTTCTATTACTTTCTATAATTTATATTATTTTTTATGGATATTGGTATTGGGTAATTAGATGTATAGATACTAAATATTTCAATATTATTATAATATCTATAAATTATAACTATTAATCGTTCTGCTATTTCTACGTAAATGTGACGTACGTGTCAAATATGTGTTATAAAATGACAAAAATGCAATTTTAAGTCACCTTTCAATAATGCTTAATTATGTGATAATTATTTATTTACGTGGTTGAAAAAGATATTACACTTGTAGTATAAAAATTACTGTTATTGTTGGCCTCACTCTTTCATTTTATAAAAGCTAACAACCTCCGTACGTGCAAGAATCCATAGACTTGGTCTCAATTATTAAATAAAAAGTACAATTATATCTTTAAATTATATTCATTTATTTCTTGCAAAACTATATTATTTTATAATTCACTAATTCACTACGTAACTATGAAAATATACGTACCATATCCGGATCATTCCAATGTCCAGGTCCTGCAAACGGCGCCCAAAATTCTTGTTTGAGCGCAAAGTAATCAGCAATGTCCATAACACTAGTCCATGAATCGTCAATGTCTCCGTAGTTTCGCCACAGGTTACAGTGCTCGACCAAAGCCGTGTAATTGATCTACAAGCGATTGAAAGTTATATTATAGGTCAGGGACGTTTTTTACTTTAGTGTGACATCTTCTCGGCTTTTTTATTGTAGTGGTTTTTTTGAGAATAATAACAAGAAACCAGATTTTTTAAAATCTTGGGTAATTTTTGACCTACTATTGAGTAAATCATCTTTTATACGAATCAGTTATCAATTAGGTAGAATAATAATTCCATCAGAATACAAATAATGATATTGAAACACAACACACGAAGTAAGCGGAACGTCGGATAGACGAATACGATTATATTTTATTTTATATTTTAATTACCTCATTCATCGTTCATCGAATTAAGTTTATTTGAGAAAGATATTCTCCCTACTATATATGGCCTTATATTATCAAATCACGGTGAAAACCGGAACAGTTATTATAGTCTTCATTTTTTTTTTTTTTTTTTTGACAATAGTTATATAAATAAGTCTTCAACGCGATTCAATTTTTGTAACTAAGCGATTTGGACGGAGATTATTATAAAGTAATTGATTTCATGACATTATCGTCGGTTACAGGGAATTTGCGTTACTAATAATTAGTTATTATAAAAATAAATTCATATTGTAATACATTTGTACACTTACCGGCATTCCCTTACCTTCTTGGTACGCCGGCCAACTGCAAGAGTACACTATGGGCCTTCCTGTATTTTTCAGATGTTTCCCGAATTCTGCGTAACCTGAGTAAGTCACATTGAACACACGAGTCGTACACAGCATTAATGGTAATATGGTTTATGTTATATGCATTTTAATCATCACAAATTTTCATTTTCGTTGTAATTACCCTTTTCCATGTCTCTAATGTCCGAATAGCATCCGTCCAGTTTTACGTAGTCTACTCCCCATTCGGCGAATTGTTGAGCATCCTGTTCTTCGTGACCCGACACACCCGGATAACCAGCGCACGTTTTTTCTCCCCAGTTTTGATACAAACCAAATTTAAGCCCTTTCGAGTGCACCTAACAAATACATTTTATAATAAACTACTGTACTCGGTTTCCAATACACAATTCAGAAACTGTAACTAGTGAGTTAATAACTCTTGAGTAACGATAGAGTAAGTATAAGGTAAGTAGAGATAATTTTTAGAAAAATTTACTTCAGAAAATTACTTTTGTATCTTGGACATGTCTAATACGCAACCCAATATTTTAATATAATATTTTTGTGTTACCAATATTAATGGACAAAATGAAAAATGCATAGAAAAAAAATTATAAATATTTAATAATTTTTTTTCGTGTGTTAATGTTTTTTAAGTTCATGATTTGAAAAATTTGAAATTTATTCGTCTCAAAACGCCAAAATACAGATTGTTTAGTTCAGTTATACTAATCAAAACATTATTCTTATTCCAGATAAACAATATGATTTTTGAAAAATTGAATTGATTTTTAACAGTAATTTTAAATAAACTTAATTATTCTACTTACGTAGTCCGATAGCGCTTTGATACCACTTGGGAATCTTTTGTTGTCCGCTAATAATTTCCCATCATTTGATCTGTTGGTAGCCAACCAACAGTCATCCACGATAACGTACTTGTAACCGAATTCTGCGTAGCCTTCGCTGACCAACAAGTCTGCTACATTCATAAAAAGCTTTTCACTATAAAATCAAATTGTTTCAAATTTCTCATTCATGGTTCAGTAAATTATTATTTTTCTCGTATATGTATAGGTATTATCAGTGCCGGATTACCCATTAGGCAGAGTAGGCACTCGCCTTAGGGCCTCACTCATTTTAGGTGCCTGTGAAAACAGAAAACTATATTTTTTTTTATTTAATAATACCTGTATTTTATTTACAAATTTATAGGAAAAAAGTTATTATTAAATATAATATATATTAAGTTGTAGGTTTTATATGCAAAAATAAAAATAAAATTATCTTGAAAAAAATAGAAATAATATAATAATTCGTTCATTTTTTTTGCAAATAAAAAAATTTAGTAAACATGATTTTATTTATTGATAATAGTTGGTTATTATTAAAGCTATTTATTTTAATTAGTGGATAGTAATGTTAAAGATGTATGTAAAAAATAATTTTGTAAGGCTCAAAATATTAATTGTTTAGGGGCCCACAAAAGTTTAATCCGGCACTGGGTATTATAGTGAATCATACGGACACCATCATTAGCTCATAGCTAGGTTTTCGGAACAGAAACCAAACCGTTAGTAACATTTAAATAACATTTAAAAAGGATGTCTTTTAACTCACTTTTTTAAACAATATATTTTGTCCAAGTTGTACAGAATTTTATAATAAATTTAATAGGCGGCTATAATTATAATTATTATTATTTTTTTTTTTTTTTTGTTAACATTAAGTTTGCGGAAGATTATTAAATATAGTTGGCCCAGGGGCCTATTCATGAACTCAACGAATACTCTTAGGAAGCATGGGGGCAAACTTCCTGGCCGTTTGATATCATCGCAAATGTTTTATAATATTCTATACACATACGTACATTATAATTGAGTTGGATGAGGTTAAGTCTGGTATACCTGATACATTCGTCGGGATACATTTCGCAGTCGGTAATGCATCTAAACCTCTGCCACGCGAGCCATCCCATTGGCGGCGTCAACGCTAGTCCGTTGTCCAGGCTGTTAACCCCGTGCAGAATAACAAACGCGACCGTCGCGTACATTATAGCTATGACACTTGACATCTTCTATATTTATATATCATACCATATTTTTTTTTTTTTTATTTATGTTTATGAAGACTAAAAACGAAAAAAAAATATAGCGATTTAAATAATGCCATGGAATTATTAATACTAACGTCATAGTAAAAAGTATCAAGCATATTGATAAAATTATATGTATCTACGAGTATATATCCACAATTTATTTTAAGTAACTTAACGTACTTTAATTAAATTTAATTAACTCTGGATAATACGGCCTATGTTCCCGGATAATACGCTTTTCTTGACAATGATGTTCATATAAAATATATTGTATATACATGTACATTGTATAACATTTAAAGAAACACCTCACTAAGAATAACGATAATGAATAATAACAAATAGTAACAAATGCACTTGATCATGTTAATAAGCTAAGAAGATTAATTGCATATTTTGATAACGCTAACGAAACGTTACATCATCTTAATAAAATTGAAAACTTCCTGTATTCAAAAAATATTAAAACTTTAAAACAATGAAAGAGTGACGATTTTTTGAAATAGGTAATATAAATGTAATAATTCACTCTGCCAAATAAAAAATATAATTTATATGTATTTAACATGTATGTATTGAAAAAAAAATAAAAAAATTTTGTTCCCGCGTAATACGATTTACCGCTTAAGTCGCTATTTGTAACTGGTCCCTTGGAGAGCGTTTTAAACGGTTACTACTGTAGTTATGAATTTTTTTAATTAATTTTGTGTTCGGTCGGTACTGACGGTGAGAGCGATCCAGAGTTATTGCCGCCGTCGCTGCGCTCGGCCGGTTTTTTGTAACAACCGCGCAGGGGATTCGAGTTCGGTTTGGCAACGCGATAGATCCCTACAACGCACGGGATCACCGCGGTGTGATCCGTGTAGTATGTGCTTATCATTAGGTCCTTATACCAAACGGCAGTCCGCGTGTTTCCGCAAAATTAGAGACGATCGATCGTAAAAAACGATTTCTCGTACAATTATTGTTGCACATCGTACTGCCCAAGTCCGCAGTGCACGCGCGTCGCGGATAGGTCCGTCCTAGGATAGCTATGGGGTGGGCGGGGTTCTAATGGCTGTCTGACCCATGGTTAATGTTTGTTGACGAAAATTGGTCACCGAGGACTTTTTATATTTTTTTAGTGTGCCCACTATAGGTTGGAGTTAATCCTAGACTGGGGCAAATTACAATCAATAATCGCCACCTACTAATGACTACAATAATAATAATAATTTCCACGATCTCCAACCACAAGTAATCGAATTCGCTGTGGCTGCTATAAATATACAATACCTACATAAACACGTAGTGACCTAAATTCAATCATGGTATTGGATTTTACTCATTGTGCGTATACCTTCTTCTTATAGTAAAAAATATAAGAAATATACAATCATATAACGATCTTATAATATTGTTGTGACCCTTTTTAATATAAGTCTTCATGAAAGAGGACCAAAAAAAAAAAAATTTTAGACGGTGATGGTATTCATGCAGAGAAGTGGTTGTTTTATGCGACAAGAGTATTTTAATGAGGCTGAAAGGTAAATTTTACGGTAGTGTAGTGTGATCAATTTACTATATGGTTCAGATTGTTGGGTGG